TTTGAAATTAATTTTAGGTTTAAATGTTGATAAAAAGACTGAGAAAGCAAACATGTAATCCTGGTGCAAATTTAAAGACAGAGAGCCTTGTTGACTTGGTTTGACAAAGACGGCATCTGCTTCTTTCTTTTACTGCTAAAGGTCCTCACTGCACAATAGCATTAGCACCAAGACCTTCACAATAAAGGTAATATATAGCAGTGCATTTACATCCAAACTGCCAGACAAACACAGCTGATCTGCGCCACACACGCTAGCCCACCCATTACCACACTATAGATCCCTGCACTATTTTATATCACGCTCTTTGGAATAAATCACTACTGCTCCTTTGGTCTACAATAGGACAGGCTGCTGTTGGGGCAACTGTTAAATCTACTGCATTTACAAGGAGAAGTAAATCATGTCCAACCACGGCAGCGAGTCCTAACCTCAGCTCTTATAGTAGATGTTTGTTTAGGACAGCAAACACCTGCTTCAAGATCAAAACTGAACTTTACTCATGGTTAAGAATTACCTTTTTTTATTTCAGTTCAAAAACAATTTTTAACATTTTTTCATGTCTGCAAAAACCTTGCTGAAACAATTTGATAGTTGTGAACACAAACTTGTATCCTCTCCTACCTCCACTCCTCACTTGGCCGTGCCTGTTCATATTTCTCTCTGACGTGCGACACACCTAGATCAGGGTGGAGCCAGTGGACCTGCTCTCTGGATTGACTGCTGCTCAGACGCAGGCCAAAACAGGACGTAAAGCGCACTTTGTGGATGTCCAAAATTTTCTGGATGATTCCCTAAAACACAGGAGGAAGAGATTTTGTTTGTCAGCATCACTGGGAAATTACACATTTAAATATGAGGCATTTAACACCTAAACTTGGATTTGATTAAACATATTTTGATATTATTTCTGTTTGACTGGTTCAGATTCTGTGTGGACCAGTTCACATAAATTTAGGTCATTTATTTAAATCCTAACATGAGCCTAAGCCTCTACTCCTGTGTTTGCATGTGTTTGATTTTGTTAGATTTAATCCGAATTTTCCACCTAAACAAGTTGACCTTTATCTTACACACATGCCTGACAATGCTCACAGAACCATGTGAGCTGTCATGTACAACACTGGGGGGTGTGACCTAGATGTAGACTAGGAGGTAAGGAAAGAAGGGAATAGGGAAGGGAGGACAGAAAGAGAGAAAGAGGAGAGGTTTCAGTGAGAACTTTTAGCAGCATCAAGGAGTTTCTGTATCGTGGGGGTCCACAGAGGGGGAGTCCTGGGGGTGCATGTATCCAGAACAAAATATTCAGCCTGTGCTGACTGTTCTTTATCAGAGCAGCTGTCAGGACCTTGAGCTAAGGACAAACAAAACAAAACCCTTCTATAAAAATCTACTGTCAGTTTAAGACAGCAGCAAAGAAAAAGTGGACGCAGCCTAACAGACATTCAAATAGCATGAAATCAATTCCACGGCTACAACCTTGAATAAACTGTTCATGGTGAGGTTAGAACCAGACTGTACAGCTGTAGCTTTATAGAAATGCAGTCTGTTATTTAAAATGTACAAATCAAAAATGAGATTCACCTTGTATCTGCTGCTTAGAATTAACACTTAATGTGTTTATGAATTACCCCAAACATCCATCCATCCATTATGTACCACTTATTTCTACCTTAAACATGACAGTGATCCAAATACTGGCTCATATATTGAGCATTAATTTCCTTAAAATGTGATCTTCTTTTATATAAAATAAGTGCAGTGGCTCTTCTTACCCTGACATCAGTGTACAGTACAGTGGCTCTTCTTACCCTGACATCAGTTGCATCTCCATATCTGATATTTGAAGACCAGCAACTGGTCTCAGTGTTTGGTTCAAAGTGATGGAAGACTTTGAGAACCCTGTCCACAGATCCTGCTATGGTCCGGTCCGACACTCCTGCACTAAGCCGGGATTTAGCACCGCCAAGGAGCGTGTGATTCAGATTCGGGTCCAGGTAGGCCGTCGCCATGGTTTTCTTTGCTGACACTGCAGCTGCTAGGTGTCTGTCATATTCTAGAGAGAAGAGGAGAAGATGAAAAGCACTCAGAGTTAAAACAATAAATGAAGTGTTGAAATTCCTGTGGTTAAACGTGTGTAGACTGGTTAAAAAATGTCACTGTCTTTAAAATTAATTATAACTAAACTCCAATCATCAAATGACTAGACCAAAGACTCCCATTAAAACAGCTCTTCTTTGACTGGTGAAAAAAACAGCACAGGGCTAAGACACACTGAAGCCATCTGTCACTGTGAAAGCACAACACACAAATCTTTTTTACTTGGCTTTCACCACTCCAAAGTACTTCTCTGCCACTTCTTTATACAGTACAATGGTTCCTTTCTTTGTACTTCACAGTTTGGATCTCTAGGACCTCTTTAATCAAGATAATCATCAGATTATCTAAATGAAAACTAATATAATAAAACACTTTAAGAACAATTTCTAAGTTTTATAATTTTAAAAATGCACATCTTTTAAATACTATTCAAATTAGCTACATGTTTTATAATTTTAAAAATGCACATATTTTAAATACTATTCAAATTAGCTACATGTTTTTACTTTAATCCTACCATTTTCTAAACTAACCCAATAGAAGGTATTTCTAAAATGTAACATTCACCAGCCAAAACTAAACAGGAAGAAATAAAAAAGACCCGTGCGGCAAGCAAGGTCAAGGTTTAGTGTGTAAGTGCTCCTGTTGGGAGAAGAGGGAGGACAATGCACGACTCTGGCTGACGTTCTTCCTGAATGAGTAGTCCTGATATTGACAGACTTCCTGGAAATTAATGGTAACTTCATCTGGGACCGGCCAACATGCAGCAGAGATAGAGCAACACTGTTTTGTGCATGCCAGCTGCTGTGAACGTGACACCGTGCAGGGAACCGATAAGAAGATCTCACTTTTTACTGGTTATATTTCTGCCTGTCTTCTGTCTTCGTGTGCTTCTCCTTACACTAAGAGAAAACTGATAGGCTACGTTCTGTATGCAGTTGATTACACCTGAGACAGAAAGACAGACAGGAAGCAGAAGAGAGAGCTAACACAATGTAGAGAAAAGCCCTTGAAGTTCTGAACAATACATTCGAGTGAAATAAAATTTCGTTTCTATGTAACTTTTTATGTAGTAATGGACTTTCACTGATGGACTGGTGACAGATTAGTGCTGTCTCTCCCTGTGTCTGTCACTGTCTTTCTCTCTCATGGAGAAACAATATCTTTGGCAGTGGACACGCTCAGTTCCCATGGAGTCAGATGTCACACGGTGGACGGGCTACTTTGTGTGAGTCTCTGCGTTTGTGCAAAAGAGATTTTATTCATACCTCTGTCCCAGCACATTGGGAAGGGGCTACAGCCACTCGTGGTGATAGAAATACACGTCTCTCTGTGCCTGTCTTTGTTGAGGACAGACAGATAGCTTGCAGCTTCACAACCACGCATCACTCACTCCAGGTGTGCAGATATATCACAGAAGTAAAAGTTCACCAACAAACTCAGATGATCAAAAAGGCAGCAAAAAAATCCTTGTCTCCAGTTTTTGTGAATCATCCGTCCGTGGCTCAAAACGAGAAAATATCTTTGCTGTGTTAATATATGATTAAAACTGGGAAGATGTGACGAAAATCACATCAAACAGAACAGTCCAAAGAGATTTGGTCCATCAGAGGGTTTGATGTCAGACATGTTTAATCACTTTCATGTCATGCACAGCTCCACAAGACAATAAAAATCTCCAACGATGTAAACACGGGCCTCATCCACAAAGTCCTCTCTTTTTGTCCACTTCTGAATTCCACCTCAGTGGCCCCTCTCTGCTGACAACTCTGTTTGTTTTTGGCCTGATTTCTGTGCAATGCCTCAACGCCGTAGTTACACAGTTGCTGGAGAATCCTGAAGCAACAGTTGCTGAGGAGAAGGTTTTGCAGTTCCTTGGTGATGGTGAGAAGACACGGCTCCTTCGGCAAGTTCAAGAAGTTCAATCTGACTGAAATAGCGGGGATTACTGATAGATGTTAAGAAGTTATGGGTTGTAAATAAAGAGGAATAGAAAACCTGCTCAAAAATAATCTTATCTCAGAAAAGAAAGCAAGAGCAAAAAGGAAGCCAGGAATACCAGAGGAAACAGTAGCAGTGCTACAGAGACAGACAGAGAGACCGGGAGTGAGACATGCAGTGGTAGTTTCAGGATGAATAAGAGGAAAAGGAGAACAGAGGAGCACAACTGACAGAAAGTGAAGTGGCGAACAAGGGAACTTGGGAAAAGGCTGCTGCAGGAGCAGGAGGAGCCAAAAACTATTAATATGCTAATCCTGTCTCTTCCATTCATTGGAAACCACTCCCACTTCTGTTTAAGGATCTGATCTGGAAACAGCCTTCACTGTGAACTTACACTGTTACAGAAGAATGGAGTGGAGAGACAAGAGTGTTTTTTTTTACATCACAGTTTACCTGGTGGTGGCCAGAACACAACACAGCGGCCGTTAACTCTGACAGATTGATAAAAGATAAGACGGACAAATTGAAATATTTATCACAGACTTGTGCAAAACACTACAATATTTAATACACATCTCCTTGTGCTAAAAATAATCCACATTGCCCTCAAACATATTTCAGCCAGGCAGAAAAGCCCCAGTTAAGTAACTGAATAATTAATCATGAGGGACAATTTTCTCATTGAAAAAAATTATTGTATTAAACCTGTCCAAGTGTTGGGACCAGTCCCAGACTTGGCCTGTTTTAGAAACGCCAGGTAAATGTACACCACCCTCCAGTCCCTACTGCACAGCTGTGTGTATAACCTACTTATAGGGAAACACCGTATAATAAACATTCTCCAATAGATTGAAACCAGTGGAGTTTCTACACGGTCCAGTCGAGACAATGACATGTTGTTTTGTACACTTTTGTATGTACACGTGTCAGTTTCCTGTAATTTGTGCACCGTCCCAGCTACTGGCCATTGTTATGAAAATCTGGTGGAAAGGGGAGCGGGGTCTTGGTAGAGAGTGTGTTCTTACATGTGTGTGCTTGTACATGTGTGTTTGTGTGGAGACTATTGAAAGGCTTTTGTCAGATGGCCGGATGTTGCGATGAATAGGAAGCACTCTTTTGGGAACGCAGCCAGAGTCTTTTTTATCTATTTCCATCTTGCTGCGTGTTTATGATCATAATTATTTTATCAGAGGAGAAAACAAGCAGCACTCACGTTCTGTTAAATGCAAATCAAGTCTGAAAGCTGCGGGGAGCCCTCTGAACTCTTAACAGTTACTTTGATGCATCCTTACATGTTTGTGTTCATGGATTATGGAGATGTATTTACCCACCGCAATGCAAATTGTTTTCTCTTCTCTGTCACATGTACTGCTACACGTACGACTCAGTGCTCCATTGTACTTCACTCTACAGCCTGCAGTGGAATAGGCTCCATCCATTTCTTATCTGCTCATTCTTCACAGTCCATTCTTCTTCGGTGAATCACTTCACGGATTTCCTTAGTTATTCAGTTAAGGGCTCTGTGCAGGCCAATAACTTCTACTTACTTTAACCGTTAGGAGGTAGTTCTTTACCTCTCTGAAATTACGCTTTGAGTTGTTGTTGATGTTTTGAAGACAAAACAACAACCAATGACACAGTTTTACTGCCGGCTGCTTGAGGTTTTATTTTAGAATTTTCTTATATTCTTGTTTCCCCGTCGTTCTTATACTTTCATGAGATTCCCAGTTGGGATGCACAGATCATCCCTAGAGCATTGTACTTCCACCTCCATGTTTCACCGTGGGGAGACGGTTCCTTGGGGAAAAGGTTTTTTTTCTCCTCTTGTTCACAGGCATCATTTATGTAGAGAAGGAGTTGGGAGCTTGAGTCTGATCAAACACACTTAATTAATAATACAGGTCCAGGATGTAGTTCTCTGAGGGGTCTCACAAGCACCAGGTGACATTATATTGAGCTGGCTGAAATATTTCCTGCAACAGAGGAAACAGATTCCACCTCCTCTTCCCTACTCCTCTATCACACCAGCACAAGCACCGTAGCCTTTGCCGCAGCAGTTGCGTCACTCCCTTGTGATCGTGATAGTGATGCTTTCAAAAGCCCAGTGGAGAGCAAGTGGTTCTTTTTAAAGCTCTACAAAGATCCACAGAATATAAATTTTTCCTTGTGTTTTCTGACGTAACATACACTGCACAAGCTAAAGGCAACGGCGAGGCACTAAATCGTTTTGTTCAAATTTAGGGCATTTGTATTAAATATTATTAAAGTCTTAGGTTTCTATATATATATAAAGGTAGTCCCTATTTAAGATAAATATAAACATGGGGATGGAGAGATGGAGTGGTGAGATTCCCCAATGCCACACTGAAAAATTCTAAAATAAGTAAGGTAAGGCAAAAGTGGAACAACTGAGTGATTAAGGGACACATATTAACAGGTTTTAATATTTTCTTCAGTGCAGGACGTCGGGTATTCATCTGTTACGGTGCCAAGCATTGTATGAAAACGCTCTGCTGCATTATTTATCGGAGAAACACCAATTACAAGCGTGGAGGTCATGGCCATCTTCACAAAAACATATTTTGGTGGTGTCAGCAGTGTGAAATCTGTAATTAGTCACACACACACTTTAAAGTTGGACCACAACAACTCTGTTCTTCAGTTCACGTTTGCATTATCCAGAAGAACAAACACAAGGACTCGTTCTCTCGTGTCTCAGGCTCATTTGTTGTAGTACCAGAACTTTCAGAATAGCTGTTTTGTATCAATGTTCTTAATCCAGTGTTTCTACTTCTGGGCAGTTAAAGGAAAACTCCTGTGGGGGTTCTCTAGATTAAACAGCATCTGTCCAACATGAAGACAGCTTGTTAGTTCCACTTGAATTAACTAACCATCCATCCATCCATCGACAGACTGATCCTCAGGTCAAATATGGAGTCAACACCGCTGACGTGCCCTTTAGCAAGACATCTCAGCCCCACCTGCTCCACATAATAACCACCAGCACAGACTTTGGTGTTTGGTATTTATTGTTTTGAGTAACTAAGCTATTAAAGGATTAACTTTTAATCATATTTTGTCCAATTACTCTAAGCATTAAGCTATTTGTTACTAACAAATAAGTAAGATAAAACAACACCATCAACTGCTACAGCTGTAATTCCCTTTTTAATCCACTTTAAGCACCTTAGCCCAAGTCAAAGGATCGAAAAGTTCAAAAACCAAACTGCACACACGACAGAAAAAATAAAATGTTGTTATGTAAACCAAACTCTGCATTTGTTTTTACAAGATTTTACAAAGATATTTTTAAATCACCTGCATAAATGAATTTATGTAAACATGGTAATCTACTCACCTGTGTAGTAGGCAATCCTGGAAATATCTGGAAGACAAACAAAGCAGTGATTAAGTTAACTGGTGGGTTTACAGGATGAAGAGATCATCTGGTCAACTGGGGTTTATTAGCTCCCACAGCTGGTGGTCATTGTTCAGCGTCTGAACATGAATAACAATCGACAGCCTGAGCCAAATTAAAAATCAATACCACGATGACATTGCAACCAGATGATAGGGGATTCCTTTGAATCAATATTCCATTGTGCCAAACATCACCTCCTTCTGATCACTGGTTTGCTTCAATTCAAAGAGCTAATTGGAAAATACAAGGAAGAGTCTTATTGTTTATCAGAGCAGATTTGGACTTCACACCGACTAGTTGCTTTGTGAGTGTTTACTTGTATTACAGTGAACCTGGAACACGACCTGCACGATTAATCACGATTAATCATGATCACAATTTAGTAGTGTATTGAAAATAAAATAGCCATTATCACATTTCAAATATTGAGTTACCTTAGGTCAACAACACCTTATTGACACTAACACTGCTGACCCCTCACAGGAAGCTGTGGAGGAGCCTTCTGGGAACATGACACCCAGTTAGGGGGCTGTATGTAGGAGAGCCTAAGTGCGTTAGACACCCTGGTGTACACACAAACACAGCACACACACACAAACAACCACGTACACACTCACACAGGGTGAAATGACAGCAGGGTAGTCAACATAGATGATGTAATGTAAAAGGAAAACCCTCGGTGAACTGAAATACCATTAAGGTGACTCATAGTGTGTCTGTGTGTGTGTATGAGAGAGAGAGAGAGAGACAGAGAGACAGAGAGAGAGCCCTTTGAAATACAAAACCTGAACGTTAGCGTTGTTAATGCCGTGGATTTATTATCACAGGAAGGAAATACCTGACATCCATCAATATCATCTGAACTCCAAGAAAACAGATACCATCCAAGGAAACATCCTCTATTGACTTCAAATTTAAATTGTATTTTAGGGCTCGGATCATTAAGTCGATAGCTGCAACAACAAATAATACAGAGGGTTTTTTGTATAATAGGATAAGGGAAAAGAAACTACAAAGTGATTTATAATCTGCTTCCACCTATTGTATATGTAAATATTTTGCTAATGAACTTCCATCAAAGATATCATAAACTCAATATTATAATGACTGGAATTCTTCACATACATTAGTGAGAGGCTAAAACACATCATTATAAAGTGATTTGTACAAGAACGATTCTGCCTATAGAGTTAATAAAGATACATTTAATGACAATGTGGGAATAAAAAACCTATTTCAGTTCATCCTACTCCATTTTCAACAGTAAACACTGTTATATTGTCATTTATTGTGAGTCCTTTATTGGCTTAATTGTGGTTTATTGTTCAGTCCTTTATTGGCTTAATTGTGTTTTATTGTCAGTATTAATGATAGTGTTTGGAAAAAACTAATACCATAGGGTATAATTCATTTATATTTCTGCTATGTTTTGTTTTTAATAGAGTTAAAACAAAAGTGTAGCTGTAGAAATCTACTCTCTATGATCCAGGACAGACTTTGATGAACCTATTATCACTACTCCTGCAAACTTTAATAAACACATTCCACATTTCCAACCTTCTCTACTTGTTTTGTTTCAAATGCCGTGCACGTTGATTAATTACACTATTTGCATGTCTGGGATGAAGTGTTGACAGGAGGCTCCCTGTGATATTTCTTGTTCTCTATGGAATTACCTGCAGGAGCACCAGCATGGTGCTAATTATATACCAGTCTGGTTAACACCCTCCACCGCACAGATATCGAAGTGGGTCGTAGGTCTTTCTCACACACACAAAAGTGCACAAACACACACTCTTGTAGACTATAGCAGGAACCCCACAACACCTGCTCCCTGACAGATCAGCTAGGAAACAGTGACAGCAAAAAAAACATTAGTGGTTTGATTTTTTTGTCCTGATTTTTACGAGCTTTAGCCAAATACCACACCATCCTGGCACAAAACCACGGACATGGAGATTTAAAGCACGTTTGTTTGTTTTTTTATTTGAGCATCGAGCTTCCAGTGTATCTGTAGTTAAGCCTACAGTTCTGTGTAGGTCAGGTGTTACAGCTGAGCTCTGGATGGACAAGCGACACAGACCATACAGCTTCCTTGTTCACTTGTGTTATTCACAACACCTGCAGTGATCCATGGGCTGATGATTTCCTGCAATCAATTCAGCATCTGGTCCTTTGTTTTTCAGAATATGGGCTAAGTCCAGGCCTGTGCCTACACATGTAGTGTGCATGACATCAATGATTTGATTCTGGCAGACACACTGCACCACTTCTGTGTCTAGTTTGAGTTGCTTGCTGCTCTGTAATGAGGCAACAGAAGTTAAACTGAACGTCAACTCTTGACTGTACAGAGACACAGAGACAACGGTTCAGGAAATACACAGAATCATCACAAAATGTGCGCCATACTTGAACCAGAATTTCCCAGATTTAATTTTTACAATGTTTGCACTCCACACTACAGCAAAGACAAAACTGTCTGTGAAGAAACGTAGGCAGATGTTTGATAAAACACAGTAAAGAATCAAGTGCTTCAACTTGAGGAGGGCAGCCAGCTGCCCTGCCTCACTGCCCACAGTTTAATGGCCAACCTTCAAGCTGAGCGGGCACACACTCTTTGGTGTGGGTGGGTGTGTGTGTCTGACCCTCTGAACAATGGGGTGTTACTGGAGCGTGTAGTCTTACAACACAACATAACGCCTGAGGCATCAATCACACCTGCTGGCCTCACAAACACTCACGTATGAAAGACTAACAAAAATGAATATTTTTGGCCTCACATTGTTCTGATTTTAAATATGATGATATGTTTTAAAAAAATATTTTATTACTGACTTTTTAAAAACATAAAATATGACCTCACATTGTTCTGATTTTAATATGATGATATGTTTGTTTTTATGGTGAAATAATTTTGAATGATACAAAAATATTTTAGTACTGACTTTTTAAAAACATAAAATATGCAGCTTACGTTAGTAACTTGCGTGTATTTCCTTAGTAATTATTGAAATGACGGTGAGCAATTTTAAAAAACAGCTTATCAAATGCACATGACACACACACACACACACACACAAACACGGACGATGCATCAGATTAGTCCTGCACACATGAAACATAATGAGGTCATGCTACCACATGATTGCTCCACACGTTATCTGAAAAAGCACATGCATCACATTGACACACACACACACAATTGTGCAGTCAAGTTCAGGTGCAGTGATGAAGCCCACCAGCTTGGAAGCGAAGCGCACATGTTAAGGTATCACATACTCTCCAGATACACTATGTATAATTCAACACAACAGATTGAGGGCGAATGCGCGGAGGAGATAAGAGCTGCGGTTCATACATGACACCAGTGGATGTTTTTTTAAACAGATTAAAACGCAGCTGACGGCTGTAAATTCAAACCTAAGGTAATAAGAAAAGAAAATCGATTTTCTAGTAAACTTTGCATTAAGATTTAGAAGGGTTTTTATTGGCCAAAACTCTTGCTCCTAATGAGGACGAGACATGAATTCTGTTCGCCAGGTAACCTCATGGTAATATATGTTAGACTTACTAATAACTAGTTATAATTTCATATTTCAGTTGTTGACACTGGCTTTGGTTTGTCTTTTATTCAGTGTTTCTGCATTAAATATGAACCCAGATTAAACAATTAACACACACTGAAATATAGATGAGTCAACTTAGAAACAAAGTGGAGGAGGAAGCAATTTATCTCCTGCACACACATCTGTGCTGGTAACATGCTGGTAATGTTTACTTAAAAAAAAAACAGAAAAACGAACACATTTATCTTAAAAGTCCAAATGTTTACAATAATATAAGCTACTGTAAAAACAGTCAAACTTATTATTTTAAAGTTTTAATGTCAATAATAATGTCCTTACCATGGTATAAACCTTCCATTGAGAAGAGAAGAGACGCTCTCTCCTCCTGACAAACAGTAAATTTAGTTAAATCCAGAATCCTGGGCTCCTGTTGTCTTTGCGTTTGTGATGTACTCGTGAGTGATAATGATGAGCTACAAGCCCAGCCTCCTCCGCCTCCTCTCCTTCCTACTCCCCTTTCACTACTACTACAACTACAACCGCTGCTGCTACGACACTGAAACGCGGCACAAGTGAGATCAGAGTAAACGGGGAAAAAAAAGGACTGGAGGGAAAGGAGGAGGAAGCAGAGAGAGCAACGCAAGCAGCGGCTGCCTATGATTTTGAACGGGGGGAGGGAGGTAAAAAAGAGGGAACAGGAGGAAGGAGGTGGACAGGGGGAATGGGAGAAGGGGGCCGAGGGGGCAGGGGTATCTTTGCCTCCCTGGAGACTGATGGAGGAGGTAGGAGGGTGAGATGGTTTAAAGGCAGGGAGGGAAAAGCATGATAAGAAGAGGAAAGAAATGATGCAACTGCTTCAAGTACAGAGGAGTGAAAGTAAGGAGGAAAGGAAGGAATGAAGGAAGGCAAAGGGTATATGCAAAGGAGAAAAGTGAGAAAGTGAGGAGAAAATAAAAGCTGGAGCAGTGAAGGACAACAGGGAGGACTGGGAGGTGGTGGGGAGGTTATTTAAATGATGTGTGTGTGAGCCAGGTTGCTTCAGGCTATTCTGCCTTTATGACACAAAGGAACCCCTGAGGAGTAACTTAATTAGTTGTAATCCAACACATCACTGTCTGAAATGATCCATCTTCAGAACAAATATCATTTAAACTACTGTGGGACAGAGAGGACAAACAGTCAGTTCTAATGAACACGTGAGGACAATTAAAACATTTTTTGGGATTGCACTGTCCAAATGTGACCTCCATAAGACCTGGAAGTGACCTATCGTTTTTGTTTGTAAAAAAGTAAAACTGTTATATAGTGGACAGATAATAAAATGTTTAGACACGGTCGACTGATTACAATACAATACTAAACCATTGGTCATCTCTGGCTACTTTTAGCAGTAAATCCAGAAAATAGCCTGACGTTGTCCAAAATGTGAAAGTCAGGGGGTCAAACAGAGAGGACGGGAGTAAGACATACGAGGTCGGTGACATGATGGCGTGACAAATACACTCTGGGGCGGTGTGTGACGCTCGGCGATCATAAACTGACCTTTTCCACTGTTAGTGCCGTCATAAATTAACAATTAAATATTCTCCACGTGTCATAAAATCCTGGGGTCATATTCCTGCTTTATGCATGTATTTTTATACATATATTCACAGTATATGGCACAGACACATAGATGTGCCGTTTCTCTTGTTTACGGACAAATTCACAAAAAACACACACTCTGACACACATACACAGATGGGCAGACTGAAAGGACAAGAGTTACTCTGGAGGAAAGCAGATTATTGGGCCACTGGATTAGTAGGTCAAGATGTCACAGCCCAGTCTTAATCTCTAGTGTGGAGTGGGGCTGAGCTCTGATCACCACCCCGGCTGATGGGATGGTGTGCTAACATTGCCCTCTGGTGGTGGTAAACAAGGTGAGGTTTGACATCCAGGCATCCTGCTGATTCATTATTTATTCAGTTATTTATTCATTATCTAGGACTTCATGATTTTTTGGGGGTAGTGGTTTGGGGGGTCAATGTATATTTCATATGTCACTAGTAAATAAAAAAATATTCTAAAAGAAAAACAGAAATGTGATTCTGTCTATTCAATCCAAATATAAAACTTAGAATGAAGGTAAAAACCTGCTCCTTTAAGTTGAACTACTTTCATGCAGCAAACATAACCGCATCACGTTAGTGTTGTTTTCTTGTTTCTCAAGTGCTTGAAAACACAAAACTCCATTAGGACAAACCAAGAGAGAGCGTGAGAGAGAGAGAGACAGGAAGACGGACAGACAGCCTGGAGACAATTCTTCAATGAACCTTTGTTACAGGAGAAGGTCTGCTGGTGAGTAATAATACAGGCAGACACACTCACACACACACTGTGGTATTATACCCAGAGCTGACCTCAGGAAAAATCCCTCGGTGAGTCCATGATGTGTTGTGGTGATGTCACACCAATGGCTGGTATCCAGGTGTTTTACTACTAGATATGTGTAGGTGTGTACTTTGGAGAAGAAAATGCTGTGATCTTTTACAGCCTGAGTGTATACGTGGCTGCGTGGGTGCACGGCATGTGTACGTCTGTGGCTGTGCATGAATCTACGGATGAGAAATGAGGTCATAGGCCTGATGGAGCAGACACTGATGAACACTGCTCATACACTTATTATAAGAGCGTGGTCTGAGAAGAGGAGCTCTGTGTGTACAACACTTAAAGACTCTGGAACTCATTTTCTGCCACTGACTGAAGTTGAAAAAATAAAATTGTTTGGCCACAGAATTCTGTTCATGCCTGTTTGACTGTGTCTACTGACATGGCTGTGAGATTGTATGAAGTGTTGTTTTTTGTTTGTGTCAACACAACACACCAATGCTACTGTATAGAGTTCCGAAAGTGTAGGCCTCTGCCATATCTGTGGAACAAATCTTATTTTCTGAATTAAAAATTGTGAGATTGTATGAAGTGTTGTTTTTTGTTTGCTATCAGATCCCATTGGTCAAGGGGGAGTTAATAAGAATAAGAATAAGAGGGATTAATATTTACGAGGATACACGGTCAACACAACACACCAATGCTACTGTATAGAGTTCAGAAAGTGTAGGCCTCCTCCAGAGTGCCATATCTGTGGAACAAATCTTATTTACAGTTTCTATGATCCATAACCAAACCAGCCACAGCACGCAGTGATCCAAATGACAGTGATTCACGACTTTTAATTTCACTCTCAACCTCAAAACATTTCCTTTAATTACAGAAATACAATTTACTTAGGTCAATATGTTTTTATTGCTTCAGGAAAGTGCTTCTGTGTCTACTGGGACAAATATCTGGTGGACAGCTGAACAAACATACAGCTCTGGTAAATAAACACTGACCGACACGGGTTTAAAAGTGGACAAAGGCCACTTGAAAAAAATGAAAACCATCCGTCATAGTAGTTTCTGTTCCTGTCACATGTTTATTAAATACCAGTCTTAATATACAGTAGGATCATTTCTCCTTCACCATCCTCTCCCCTCATCGTTTCTGTTTTTTTTATTCCTCGCTCTCTCCTCCTACCACCTCTTTTTGTCTTTGTCTATATGACATAAAAGAACAATTGCTTCTTTCTCTCTGTCCCGCTCTGACTCACTGCAATGTAATTACGGAGGCTGTCCGTTCACACACATGCACAGATAGAGAGAGAGAGGGGAAAGAGAAAGTAAGACAACCTATATACAACGTCTACGCCTGCAGTGGTCCTCCACCGACTGTAGCTGACTGTAGAGAAAAAGAATTACACACAACGAGAGGAAATCCATTATTTTTAGTGGAACCAGGTCGGCAGTTTGGTGCTGACACACACATTTACACACACACATGAACACTGTGTGAGAGATGCACCAGAGGGAACCACTGTGTTCCAGTTCCATTCATCAATGACTGACATGCTGCACCAGTGACCTGCATGACCAAGGTAGCTTACACTGTGTGTGTGTGTGTGTGTGAGAGAGAGAGAGAACAGAGAGAGAACCTAGAGAGTCTCCCAAGGAGTTACAAGTCATCAACTATGACATCACTTCCTTCCATTGTAGCAAACTCCACAGTCCATCTACTCTCTCTCTCTCTCTCTCTCTCTCTCTGTCAGTTGTACAGCCTGTCTCAGAAAACCTCACATGGTACTATTATCCAATAAACTTGTGCAGATGTTATGTAACTTGGCCCAGAGGGAAAATGTAATAGAGTAAACTCCATGGTCACCTGCTTCAAATCATCTGTGTACACATTTAACCATGGCAACTACACACATTTAGTCATTGCACATTAGTATTCAGGCATATTCAAGAATTTCCACAAATCAGGTTAGAAATAACCCTAATTCAATAATTTAGACATTAATAAACACATTAACACTTTACAAACACATTAAAACCTGAATGGTTCTGCTGCTGCCGCTGAGAGGAAGAGGCGTTTTCCTCTCAGCTCCTGAGGGACGTAGCATGTTTTAGGATGTACAGTAAGTGCTCTGTGACTGACTGTGTGTTCAAGTGCGTGTGTGTGGGTGTGTGTTGCAGGGTGAGGGGACTGCTTCCTGAATGCAATCCAGAAGCAAAAGGAATGGTCCTTCATTCAGTGTGCAAACACACATGCACACAAAAATACTTCACTGCAGAAACCAAAGGCCGTAAGGAAACACTTTCACAGCAGTTACAGAGTAATATGAGGACAAATCTCGTCACATTTAAATCTGCAACTACTGTAACTTTTTATAATACTAGCATCTTTTTGTGTTGTCCTTAGTTCAGTTTGCTTGAAGTTAACAGTTCTTCATGAAAAACCATGACCCAGGTGCATGTCTCAGTCCTCTAACATATTCCAGCCCTCTGAAAAAAAGTTGCTAAAAAATATTTTTTTTAAAGTTTTTAAAAAAACGTTGGCTTTTTGAACTCTTCAAGTATATATAAACTTGATTTATATAAGCAAAAAGTAGCAGTTTCCTTGTTGCAGCTTACTAACTGTTTTGTTCATCCCAGCCCATACCCTGCTTCCGCTACTTTTTTCTTCACCATTCATTGAACTAATGCAAAACCCGGTCCAACAGGATGTCCTTCCTGACACAACCTTCACATTCACCCAAACTAGGGAATAAATAAATTATAGTAGCTGGGTAAATTAAATAGATATTTGACTGTAGGATATGATGGGTGATTATTCAAGTCATGTTTTATTAACTGGCATCATGTTCAACAAAATAATATCTCCTTAGTTCCCTGCCAACACAGAGACTCACAAGCATAATGTAAAACAAAGGGGCTCAGTTTTCCAGGTCAACTTTTCATTCATGTTATTTTCCGTCCTGCTGTAAGTTTGCAAATATTATCCACAAATATCCTCACAGCTGCATGTGTTTACCCAGAAGGTACAAAGAAGCAAATCACTGGATAAAATACTGGGAGAGGTTTTGCTGGAAAAAAAAACACAGGTATGAAGCACGTCCTCCCTTTTCAGACTCATGAACTCATTTGGTATGAGGAATGCCTCATGACACACACAAGTCAGGAGCAAACACAGGCACACTCAGTACTACATACTTCCATACCAAGTATGCATCTGCAGTGATTGCTATCATTACCTAGATTCATTATGAGGCCCAGCACATGCTACGATCTACCGACTTTGTTTCTCTCCTCATGTCTCTGTGGTTTTCTCTCTCCAGTCTGGCTGTCTACGGAGAGAACATGACACAAATTAGAAAACTGAAAAGAGTTTTTGCAAAGTAACATTAAAGAGAACAAAACACAGCATGAGTGAGCGGGAAAGAGGAAATGACAGCCAAAGGCAAAAAAAAACAAAAAAAACCAAAAAAAAAACCTCTGCTACGTAGTGGATTGCTCCTGCAGGATCTCTCTGAGTGTAGTCAAGTGTTTCTATAAATACAGGCCTCCTGCACTGCACTGCAATTTACACACACTCAAACATTTGCTTCTATCTTTGTAAGGACGCTTACTGACATAATTCACTACACTGTAACCATAATAATTAAACCCCAACCTTTACCCTTACTCCAACTTTAAACTAAATATAACCGTTAGTCTAAAAAACCAAGTCCTAACCATCAAACAGCTGCTTGAAGTTGTGAGGAGGGAACCAAAATATCCTCACTTCACCAAAAAGACCTCAATGTGTAAGATCTGAACGTCAAAGTGGTCCTCACAAAAACTAAACACACACACACACAGACCAATGCCACGCCTGTATTAGCCCTGCAGCCACAGGAAGAGCTGAGTCACAAAGGTGAAGCTAACGATTAACTCTACTTTATTTAATGCCCTTCTCCAGTTTACTATCAAAACAGCCGTCTAAATCAATACTTGGAGGACAACACAACATTTCAGAAAACACAAGAGAAAAAAAACAAAGCAGATGTTGCACATAAATTATTTTTACAATTTCATCCACTTCTTTCACAGCAACAGGCCATAATAACAGGTTTCTGCTTGAGATAATGGATTACACTGCGTTCATTCTGGTCCTGTGACACCAATTTAGTAAATGAAGACTTTGCTGCGTGGTTGAGATACGTGGGATGACAAAAGTGGAATGGGGTGAAGTTCCAATTTCTTTATCTAAAACCATAGACGACATAAAATAGCCACCCAGCTGCAAACTGGGGTTTGGCTCCAAAGTTAAATACTAAGAGTAAACAAGAAAAAATCTAAAAAAAAAAAATAACTTGACAAATAGTTAAATTATATAACGTCCAAAGCTACATACATCTGCTTTTAGGTCAACTCATGTTATGCAGTAATATCACAGATGTCATTTTGTTATGGATTTTCTTTTTACTAGAATTAGCAATCAATTAACAATTATTCTCAGAGTTTAAAGATATTCATCTAAGCTAGAAAAAGTTTGCTTTAGTAAGAGACAACCACTGTAAATGTAATAAGAATAAGAATAATGATTTTTGTCTTGCAATGAATATGTTTAAATTGCATTTAAATGAATGAATTTCTACATGAAATATATAAGACAAAATAATAAGATAACCAGCATACACTAACATGGGGCAGTGATATATTACTGCCCTATGATACGCTCATCCTAAGAATTACAAATGTGAATGTGAATATGCATTACTGCACACTGAAGCTTCAGTGGCCTCAGGATACTGCAATGATTAGCATATTCTTGCATCTGGAATATAAAGTATAGGCTGAAGAAAAGGACTGAGCCCCTAAGCACAGTGTGAAAAGGCCCCGGCTATTTGACTAGTATTTAAACATCAAAACTTGGGATTATCTTGGCTTTCTTTAAAGACCAAGTGACTGAATAATGGCAACAATGTCGATTAACATCAGTAAGTGTTGCTACTGTCAGCTGTCAATCAGACATGATGTCCAATCATATGCACTCCCTGTGGTCTTCATCATAAACTTTTATCTTAATAGATTTATATTTTGGATTCCATCAGAACACAAATACAAATCTTCAAAGTTGACAAAAACATTCTTCAACAAGTCAAGATTTATTTATTATAATCGGTCAAACCACAGGCCATAGAAAATGTCATATTCAAAACAAAAATGTCCTTGAACACAGTAATAAAAAATACATAACAAAGTAAAATATAATGTCATTTCTATTTGACATGAAAACAAATAAATAATCAAATAAAACAAACCATCGTAAACCCCTGCAAAAAGGCCAAGCAAATATATCAGAGAATAAAGAAAACTAAATATAGACGCAAAGACCCAAGGTGAGTGACAGATCCCAAGAGTTCAAAAATAAACATACAGGTAAAAAGGTTAAGCAAGAGTTAAATAGTGTCGTACTCACTAACATCATTGTGACAGCCAATTTACACCAGCTGACCAAACCAACCTCGGGCTGGACAGGACAGCCTCCTTTCACGTGTTCAGCTCATGGTCCACAAATAGGTGGCTTGTGAGCAGGAAGCGGGCAGCAGGCCGCCACTTGAGGACCACTGTTATATTCCATTATGTTCTTAGGTGAGAAGAAACCATATTTTTGTACAAGTGTCCCATGTAAATTAACAAACATCTGAAACCAATGCAATTTTTTGTCCATTTACTTCCACAGATACTTTTGAAGACTGGCTGCCCCTGTTTCATATATACATACAGTTTATGGTTTGTATTGTATAAACATTCACTATATTTAAAATGTTAAATTTGCAATTTGTAATTGGGATCTATGACGTTTCTCCATTCTATTTTATAAATTTTTTAAATATTAATAATAATATTTTTATTGTTACAGATTACTATATTTCAGGTATTTATATTATGTTACTGCCCAAACCTTATCTAACTGCTCCAGGTGTCATTTGCAAGATGGAACATGTGAATGGTGAACAATGTGCTATTACAGTGTAGTCACCACATCATTAACTAAACCACAATTAACCCAACATATCTGTGTCATTTACATTATAGCCAATATATCACAAAACAAACACTACGGCCTCATAAGGAAAAGAACATTTCGTGAATGTACGAGAAAAGATGGAGCTGGAATAAGGGATCGTGGCGGAGATTAGAATGTAGGTTAATCCGGTTGACTTCATTTACTGTAGGTAAGAGTGGGACTCACTCCTCCGCCACTGTCCCTCCATGTGACCAGTGTAGTTTGGTGTGGGTGGCACGCTTTCTTTTAATAACTAACTAAAGTTACACAAATTGAAAACAAAGTTCGACTAAGTTGGTCCGTTTGTTCAGTTTGGAGTCAGAAGATGATAACCGAGTTCAAATGTTGTGGCAGAGGAAACGGCTAACAACAGGACGGACGTAGAGAGAGAAAAAAAAGACTAAACCCCGCATCACATATCTTTTTTTCAGCAGTTGAAATAATCCCAGGAAGACAACAGCACTCACCGTCACTTGTTCCAGGGGACGTCCGAGAGTTTCAACGGGACTTTGAGCACGGGAAAAGCCCCTCGTAGTCGCTGGGTATTCCTTTATTACTGTCACAAAACTGGGAGTAGTTAGAATGGAGTTAGTGCTGCTGTTTTTTTCGACCCTCTCTCTCTCTTGCGCTTTCTCTCTCTCTCCTGTTCCTGCCCCCCTCCCCTCCCTCCCCTCTTTCCCCTCTACTTCCAGCATTCCAATATGGCGGCCTGAGGGAGCGACAAACATCATAATACAAACATAGGTTTTACCAGCTATTCTTATCAAGACCCTGCGATGACTTTCTTTCATTAAAAAAAATCCTCTAAATTCTTATTTCAAACTTCATCCCAAAAGCATTAGCAGATTATGAAGGGAATTTCTCAGAAAATAAACATAACAGTTAAGTCCACACCAATCAGTAGTATATTTGTTACATGGTTATAAACACTGATGCTATCCTTCATCTGTATTTCTATTCATTTTTTGTTTAGATCAATTAAAAACAGGATATAATGTCATATAAAATACACACATTTTTCTTTAAAAAATATAAAAGTACAGAATTACAAGAGAAAGTGTATACCAGAAAAAAATATAAAAAACAATCTGTGTTATAGCTGCAGTAATTGTAAGGTTATTGCAGTGGTTCATTCTCTTGCCTTACAACGGGGTTGATCGGGGTCAATATGACAATCTTTGTTGACCCAATTTGCTTTCATAAGCTTAACAATGTGTTGCAATTGTAAGCATTAAAATTTCTGAATAAAACCTTGTAAGTAGCTCTAATGGTTCACTTTTAGGTGTAATTAAGGTTTATTACAACATTTTTAAGTGTACACAAGCCTACAACCTTTGCGAGGGGAGTGGGGTGCTGGGGGAGGCGCTGTTATAATAGGTTTAATTGCCTTATAGAGAGGTGACGTTTGTGAAGTCAATACATATTAAAATTTTCTTCTCAGTTTTTAGCAGCTGCCATATTTCTGTTACAATACTGCTACCCCGTGGTTGTGTTCCGGCTATGTTCTACTTAAGATGTGTTCTTCTAAATATTTTAGTTATGCATGTTTTGTCGTACTAAGCCAGGAATATGCCGTTTTTGAATGTCAATAAGGAGTTTGCAGGTTTACTTGGAAAAATTGATGCCGTGACCCGGATTCGAACCGGGGTTGCTGCGGCCACAACGCAGAGTACTAACCACTATACGATCACGGCGGACCATTTGACGGGTGCCTCAACGTTCTAACAGGTAAGTGAGCTGCCTATCTTAATACATACAACAACAGTCGACTGAGATCAAATGTGTTGTATTGAAGTAAAGTATAACTAGTAGCAGTGGTGGGATCACAAAAAATAAATAAACATTCATATTGATAAAAAAAGCTCTATACTCCAAAAATGGGTCATAAATACAAAAAAAAAAAAATCAGATTTGGTAAATGTTTAAGTTGACGGACAGGGCTCCAAGAAGCATGTGTAAAACGTTTTGGTACTGTAGTAAATAACTCCCACCACAAGACGTCAGTAATGAGAATACATGGATACAAACCGCCGTTAAATAAAAAATACAATGAAGAGCCTTGTGCTCGGTTCCTTCCGGTGACTATTTCATAAGCTCCGGACTTAGCAGGTAAGCAGATTGTTTTTATACCCAACATTAAATGTTTACAGTGACACAGATTTGACTACCGTAGTAAGAGTTACTGAATCCATCAATAACTAGTTACTGGAAAAATCTGCAGTTTGCGGTCCTGTTTCTATTTGACACTACAAGGTTAAGCGCTTGCTTATTCGGCTAGACTGGGCTAGCTGAAGGCAAATGAGCATGGAGGTCAGGGTCTTCTGCACATCCAAATGTTAAACGCATTATATATATCATTTATTTATTTTGTTGTTTGTTAACTTGATTTATTTGGGCTGTATCAACTGGTAAAGCTTGGTCTTTTTATGTATCAATACATGTGATGTAAGAAGACTACGTAACAAGATGCAGCTGTTTTGGCTATAGTTGTTTTAATCAACAACATAAAAATGACAATTATATTACAAATTGTGATGCACATTAATACGTTTGACGTATAAATGTCTCGATTTGATGAATCTTTAAGTTTTAAAGATTATTTAAGGTCTGCAGGAGTTAAATACCTTTTTATGTATGTATAATATTTTTATGTTCCTGACATTTTTTTGGCCCGTGTTCTCTGTGCAGTAAGGATGCTGTCCCTCTCTCGAGCTGTGGTCAGTGGGGTGACCAGAGCCCCAGCTGCCATTAGTCAGGGGGGAGTGAGTGCATTAACCAGATTCAACAGCACAGGACAGGTAGTGAGATCAGTCCGTTTATATGATACTTTCATAATAACAATATGGATGTATAATCATTTATATCCATTTTCTTTCACAGACTCCTCCAAAAAAGACAACATTTGGGCCTCTGGCAGATGAGGACAGAATTTTCACAAATCTTTATGGTCGCCATGACTGGGGGTAACACAGTTTAAGTTCATCACTTACTGTATCAGTTCTGTATGTAGCGATGTTTATGACAATAGGAGAAATCTGGTATAATTCTGTGTTTGATGAACACTTGGTAATGGACTCTTATATTTGTGCTCTAGGCTGAAGGGGGCTCAGAAGCGTGGGGACTGGTACAAAACTAAAGAGATTCTTCTGAAAGGAGTCGACTGGATCCTCAATGAGATCAAAACCTCTGGCCTACGTGGGAGAGGTGGAGCTGGTTTCCCCACAGGCATGAAGTGGAGCTTCATGAACAAACCCAGTGATGGCAGGTACTACTAATCTTTGGTGTTAAAGGGACAGTTTAAGCATAACAATAAACTATAAACTGCATCATTATTTATCAAAAAGGTGTATTTTTCATCTCTATTAATAAAAATTATTGATCAAATGAAGCTTTTTTGTTTTTATTTACTTCAATATTTTAGACCAAAGTATTTGGTGGTGAATGCAGACGAGGGTGAACCTGGCACCTGTAAGGACAGAGAGATCATGAGGCACGACCCGCACAAGCTAGTAGAAGGTTGCCTTATTGCTGGCAGGGCCATGGGAGCGCGTGCTGCTTACATTTACATCAGAGGAGAATTTTACAATGAGGCCTCCAACCTGCAGGTGAAAATGAAGATGGTTTTGAATATGGTGTTAAATTGATTGAACTTAACATTTGTTAATATTTAACCTCAGCCTGTCTTGGTTGATTTTTTTTTTTTTTTTTTTAAATACCAAACTGTGGATTTAAAAAGTTGTGCTTATTCTTAATTACAATATTAACCCCAGACTCTAACTCTGCATATTCATCATATTTAAACATTCATTGGGTTTTGTAGGTTGCCATTCATGAGGCCTATTCTGCTGGCCTGATTGGAAAGAATGCCTGTGGCTCTGGATATGACTTTGATGTGTTTGTTGCCCGTGGTGCTGGTGCTTACATCTGTGGAGAGGAAACTGCTCTTATCGAGTCCCTGGAGGGGAAGCAAGGAAAACCCCGTCTGAAGCCC